AAAAATATTTCCTCCAGAAACCAAGGCTTTAAAAAAATTTTTTAAATGCTTAGCTAATCAGGGAAATAATGCTTTTGGATGGCTGCTACTATGATTTATGGTTGGAAAAACAACGGTATTCGATTACGTTGAGCTTCAAACTTTTCCTTTGATTAATGGAAATCTTCCTGGCAAATGCTTTTTATTATGCTGTGTTTTTACTTGGTCCAAGAGAGTCTACTCTCTGGACCCAATATGAATGCCTTCAGACATCTCTCTTAATCATATTGAATATGTAATATCAGTGGGGTATCCATTTGGAAATATTTAGCAGCCAATTGATGTAATGAAAATAAAACTAAATCTAGTCAGTTGAGTTTTCAATTTCCATAGGTGCAGCTGGGTTGTCTTTTGTTATCTGATCTCATGCTTCTGCCGTCCTTTTCTCTGCCATTACTCCATTCCTTAGCCACTTGTGTGCCTCAAAGTTGCAATGCATTAAGTCACTCATGCAAAACATTCCTACCTTTCTCACTTAAGCTTCTGCCTTCCTTCTTTTCAGAGACTCTTTAGAGGGATCTGTATGACTGAAGAACATCTAATCTCTTAACATGTAGCTTGGTAAACTAATCAACTTCTTATCTGAGTCTTATGAGAAAGTGCCCAAGATGAGAAACTATAGAGGTTTGGTGAAAATTCAGTTAGAAAGAGGTGGGAATTTTACAAAGAGGGAGGTGTTTTAGCAATTTGGCTAAACAATTATTTAAATCTTTACTTAGAATAAAGAGATAAGGGCTTGGTTAGGGTTTCTGAAGCCTCTTATTAGGAAAGCAGAACCTGAAGACATTTAGAACATGAAATTAGAGTAGTGAATTTTGGTCCTATGAAAATAAGGAGAAGCCAAAGGGCCTTTGAGGCTGAAGGAGAGGAAGAAAGACTTTCCTAAATGTGGTATAAACACTTCCTACTAAGGAGGTGTGAAGCTAAATGTGCCAGGTGTATGACAGGTGCAGCTGGGCCAGGCCAGGTAGAGAGCGAACAGAAAGAGATGAGTCCAGAATCTCTAACTGGGCTCATCTCTGGGGACCTATCTAACCACAGGTTGGTGGCTGACCCACCCTTGCGGCTTGGTCTGAGTCCAGACATGGACACCTCCCACTCTGTTCCTTTCCACTGCGGATGTTTAGGCCAAGTTACCCTGTGTTCTAGGGACACAGATCTCTGTCTGGAGGCAGTTGTACCAAATTAGCTTGGTCTAATGGATACTCAGACAACTTGAACACGTTTCAAGGTGCCACAGGGCTTTGCAGCCCATGAGAAGATCTCACTTGCCTTTTAGCTAGGTCTGGATTATATTCTTTTCCGTGACATCCCGGTTTGGGAGTCGCCATGGAGCAGGGCTGGGCCAAAATGACAACTGACAATGTTACATACATGAATTTCCAAGGTGGATAAAAATGTTGCTTTACAGAGAGGAAATATGGCCTGTGTAATTTCCCTCTCTTCGTTTTGGATGCCCTCTGGTCTTATGCCCTATGTCTGCAGCGGATTTTCAGTATACCAGGGCCATCTCAAAGAAAAAGTATAGATGAAAGACATTTTGCTGACAGTATACATCTCTGCTAGATCTGGGGAAAATGGACTTTTGCTATTACAGCTTTTACCAATACTTTAAAAAATACCATTTGCATATTCCATTTATATTGTTGTGAAAATTATCACTTTATGGATTCAGTCATTGATTAATTCACTTGATATCAATATTTATTGAGTCCTTATTCTGGATGAGGCACTATGCTATAAACACTCAGGGTTGCAAAGATGAATAAGACACAAGAAACTTAGCAGACAGCAATGGAGACGAGAATATACAGTTGAAGGACTAATAATGTAGCAAGCAGCAGAGGAGAAGGAAAAAAAAATCTACTATCTAGTTCAGAACAGGGGTAGTTGTTTCTAGTGTGTGGGGACTAGGAGTGGCTGGTAAGAGAGGAATTCATAAAAAAGATGACCTTAAGAGGCAATAATCTCCTCAAACCCAGTAGGATGGCTACTATTAGAAAAACAGAAAATAATAAGTATCGGGAAGGATGCAGAGAAATTGGTACCCTTGTGCATTGTTGGTGGGAATGTAACATAGTGCAGCCACTATGGAAAACAGTATGGCAATTCCTCAAAAAATTAAAAATAGAACTACCATACGATCCAGCAATCTGACTTCTGGATATATATCCAAAAGAATTGAAAGCAAGATCTCACAGAGATATTTGAATATCCATGTTCATAGTAGCATTATTCATAATAGCCAAAGATGGAAGCTACCCTAGTGTCCATCAATGGATGAATGGATAAACAAAATGTGGTATATATACACACACAATGGAATATTATTCAGCCTTAAAAAGAAAGGAAATTCTGACACATACTACAAGGTGGATCAACCTTGAGGGCATATGCTAGGTCAAATAAGGCAGTCACAAAAAGACAAATACTATATGATTACACTTATATGAAGTACCTAGAGTAGTCAGATGCACAGAGACAGAAAGTAGGATGGTGGTTGCCAGGGGCTGGGGAGAGGAGCAAATGAGTTGTTTAATGAGTTGGAGTTTCAGTTTTATGAGATGGAAAAGTTCTGGAGATTGGTTGCACACCAATGTGAATACACTTAGCATTACTAAACTGTACACTTAAAAATGGTTAAGATGATAAATTTTATGTTATGTTTATCTGACTACAATTTTTTAAAATTCAGTGTTTTATTCTGCAGGGGCAGGTGGAGGATACTTGACACCTTGGAACTTTTGCCCATGCATATGCTATTCATTCATTCATTCATTCAACAAACATGTATTGAACAGCTGCTATGTGCTGGGCACTGAGCTAGGTACTGGGGCTCTGATGCTTAATCAGAGTCATCGTCACTGGGAATCTGTCCACGTCGTGCTTGTTTATCACCCCTTCACCAAAGGCACTAAGCTGCTAAGGTTAAATATTGACGGCTCTTTCCTACTGACTTGAATCATGCATAAGACGTTAGTAAGCAACACGAAAAAGATTTGAGGTTGACTGGGGGCAACAATTCGATGGCATGGTGATGAAATGGAAAGAGATGGGTAACAGAATATGAACTAGAATCAAAAACTGCGAGCCAGTGCTCTCTAAGGATATTAAAAAATAAAGAACTCCTATTTGACATGCCAACCTCAGAGCTAAGTCATTTAGAATGGAAAAAATTGGCAAACCCAAGGAGCTGATATTTTCTGGATATTATGGCAAGTATAGTTTGTGAACCACTGCCACAAGATTGTGGACAATATTCATGAGTGAGAAGGGCAAGGAAGGATCATAAAATTTGAGCTAATAGGAAAGACAGGGCTTGGGAAGGGGAGGACCAGTGAAGGTCAGTGTGGTCTGGTTATTTGCTTGGGGAATGGAAGCAGGAAGCACGGGCATCCTTGGGACCAAGGGACCCTGGAAGGTCTATCTTCAAGGCACTTTATCTCATCCTAGGTTTTTTTTTTTTTTTGAAACCTCATAGGAACCTTCACTCCATCTATCCTTCCAATATCTTTCTACTTCTCTTTTTTTCCATACACCCTGGAACATTCTATTCATTTATTTAAATATTGAGTGCCAACTACATACCAGGCACCGTGCTGGGCTCTGGCTGTATACCCCCAATTCTCTTATACCAACTTCATTTAGTTGCACATGCCTGGAAAATCCTGGATCGGCATAATTTCTGCTCCTATACCTGGTTAGATGAGAGACGCAAACTTAGTCTCATCTACTCCTTTTGTTACTTCTTTTCTCCCTGTTTTCTCCCAGGTGTCTTCACCGAGGCTGTTCCTTCTACCTTGGTCTTTAATCCCAAATGCTCTACTTTCCTTCTTGACTTTTTTATGTTTTCCTCTTCTTCAACCATTCTCTCTCCACTGGCCCATTCCCCTTCAGTCTTCATGAAGCCCTCTCAGGTCTCTTCCATTCTAAAAATCCTTTTTTGTCTTTATCTTTGTTAGCGACCACCCTATCTCATTCTCTTCCCATTCTCATCCAAGTTCTCAAAGGAATGGCCTTCGCTCACTTTCATTTCCTTATATTCCATCCACTTTTCTAGCCATTGGATTTTGGTTTGTGCTCATATGCTCTACTGAAACTCCTTGCTAAGTGTCCTCTTTGTCCAATCCAATTTCAACTTATCAGTCCTTGTTTTATTGGACTTTTCTGCCTCGTTGGGCACTATTGATCACTCTCACCTTATTAAAGCTTTCTACTTCCTTAAAACTTTTTACTTCCCCATTTCCTTGGTTCTCTGAGAACTTTCTGACTGTTTATTCTCAGTTTCTTTTCTGGGATATGCTTCCTCCGTGAAATTTTTAAAGGTTGGTGTAATCATTTGTGTTCCTCTGTTCTCATCCTACATGTTCTTAATGAGGAGTATTGAATAGTGAATAATATCCTTAAATAATAGTCAAGTTATAAAAACTGATATCCAGAGTTATCTGGAAACAATGACACAAAAATTTGAATTATCTTTCTATACATGTTCTACGTTGTTCATCAGTTCATCTGAGTTTCAAATGCTCCAGCTGTTTTATGCTTTGTCTCTGTTTCCTAGAGACCCTTACTGTGGTCTAGAATTGGAATTAACATTGGTGTCTAATGGTTCTGAGTTAATTGCGAATCCCTGAAAAAATGAATAAGTCTATTAGAAACCAGCTAATTTCATTCTGTCATTTTTTTGGATAATATATTCTGGTGTAGGCAGTCCATTTTTAAAAGCAAGTTTGCAATAAACAATTTCCCCTCAAGGTTAATATAATAGGCAAACACCTTTTGCTGCAACAGACGGCAAGAGATAATGAAAGATTAGCTTACATTATGATTCATTATTTCAAAATGTCAGAATAAAGTGGATCTGCTGCATCTCCCAAGCCTCTTATTCTTTAGAGCAGACTGCATGTTTTACTTTTCTCTTGTTAATGGATTCACTTTTTTTCTCCTATTTTTTTTTCCAGGCCAAATGCAGATAGTCGACGCCAGGGAGGTAGAGAGAGATTGGCCAGCTCCGGTGACAAGGGAAGCATGGCCATGGAATCTGCCAAGGAGACTCGCTACTGTGCAGTGTGCAATGACTATGCCTCAGGGTACCATTATGGAGTCTGGTCCTGCGAGGGCTGTAAGGCTTTCTTCAAGAGAAGTATTCAAGGTAATAGTGTGTTGAGAACGACTTATTCTATTTTTAATCCTAAGATGGGAAGCCACTGAGGAAGGCATATGATCAGCCATTTGTACAAAACACTGGTATCTAGTAGGTCCACTAGTATCTTTGGTAGAAACATGGAGAGGAAACAGGATCTCAGGAGAAGGAGTTGACAAATGCTAGGGCAGTTGTTACTGAGTGATTACACTTCCTCCATTTAGCTAGATCCAAACAGTCTTGAGCAAGTCTACAGGAGGAGGATTTCAATAGCTGGGTCTCTGAGATGATGTCCATGCCCTGATTATGGGATGGCAGGTGGATATTTACGTGTTACAGGCAACCAGGCTTATATGATATAGTGTGATATTAACTGGCCATACATATTCTCTCTCTACCTTGGCTTTGTCCAGATAGGTATTCCATTCTGATCTTTGCTCCAGACCAATTCTAATTTAACTTATTCTTCTCTTGCTCTTCTTCCATCTGTTGGTTGTCTCAATGGACGACATGACCTTTTGCTAAAATGAGAAGACTCAATGGCTGGTGACTTGTAATAGGGGACGTATTATCTGTACCAAGCAGTTATTAAATATCCACCTGTGACATTTCATTCACTGGTCTACCATGCTCCTATTCTTATATATAGTTTACCATGTGCGGCTGCTCTGATATACTGACAGCTACATTTTATTTCTATTCCAGGACTGTCTATATTGTTGCATTATAAGTATACTCTGGGGGAAACATCAATCATTTTACTACCTAAAATCTCTATGCTAAAAATCCTCTGTCTGACCGCAACAGAGGTCTGAGAGCAGTTTAGACTAACTGAATAACTTTTTGTCTTAATAGTGGAGCATTTTTCTCTGTTCTTCTTCCTTTACCTTTTCAGCTTACGCAAAGTTTGGTATATAAACACTAAGAATATTCCTGATGGAGTTTTTATGTGATTCTCTCTATGGAAATCGAGGCTTCAGTAACTTGTTGAAAACCAGACTCTACTAAATTAATAGGTTCTGATAGGAGAAGTGATTCTTCTGGACTGTTTGCTGTAGCTCTTCACTGCCCTGATATGGAATGAAAGCTGGGGGAGGATACACACAATTTTTGTTTTTCCTTCCATTGCTAATAGGATGGGTTTCTTGTTTTTTAAAAAAAGCTGTTCATATCTTAATAGAGTACCATGTGAGGTCAGGTTGGTCCATTTTAAAAGCATTTTCTTTGACAATTATTACTTTCAACATCTTTTAGAAATCTACTGTTAGACTCAGACTTTTTTGTTAGAATTTTGATAAAATTTACGACATTCTCTGAGAGTAAATTTTTGTTTCTATAAATATATAAACACACACATATATGTCTCAACATAGATTATTTAATTTTACTAGCTGATACTATCTTAATTTAGAAAAATGGTATTTATATTTTGGTTTAGGTTCGTATAAACCCTTAAAGGTTTTTTGACAGTCATCTTCTTTTGTGATTTTGCTCTTTATTTGATTTTATATAATATAAAATACCATTATTTTCACCAAGCATTTAGTCTGATATTGAAAAATCATTTGACAGAGGAAGATTTAGTGCATAAGTTCAACAACACACTTGGACGAGTCATTTTTCTGAGACTGAGTTCCATCATCAGTAAAAATGATTTAAAGCAGTGGTCAGCAAAGTTTTTCTGTAAAGGACCAGATAGTAATGTATTTAGGCTTTGCAGGCTATATAGTCTCTGTTGCAGCTACTGGCATTACAGCCTGCAAGGAGCCATAGAGAATATGTAAATAAATGAGTGTGTGCCAATAAAACTTTATCCACAAAATCGGATAACTGACCAGAACTGGCCTGTGAGCCATAATTTGCTGACCCTTGATTTAATATATGAAAAGGGAATAGATGGGGGCTGGCCTGGTGGCACAGCGGTTAAGTGCGTGTGCTCCGCTGTGGTGGGTTGGGGTTCAGATACGGGGCATGCGCAGATGCACCGCTTGTCAAGCCATGCTGTGGCGGCATCCCATATAAAGTGGAGGAAGATGGGCACGGATGTTAGCTCAGGGCCAATCTTCCTCAGCAAAAAGAGGAGAATTGGCAACAGATGTTAGCTCAGGGCTAATCTTCTTCACACAAAAAAGAAAAAAGCAAAAAAAGAAAAGGAAATAGATGGTTTCTAAATCTAACATTTTGATTATTTATGTTTATTGAGAACTTACTCTTACCTGAGTTAGATGTTCTGAGGGAAATAAAAATACGTGTAAGACAATCCATAATCCCACAAAATTTATAATTTATTTGGGAAGTTTATTTGGGGAGGCAAAGGTACTTGTTCTCATGATAGAATTAGAGAGTAAGTCAGTATAAAGTGCTACTGTATGAAAAAGATAAGGAAAACACTAGATGAATATAATAAAAGGAAATATTGTTAGTTATAAATGTAAGATTATTGAGATTGAAGGTAGAAATTATCTTCTTCCAAGGAATAATAGCAATGTTCCTACAAATTATTTTCATCATGTGTATTCAGCATTTATGACTGTACTACATAACTTCATGTCAAACTTAGTATTGTCTCTAGGCATTAAGACATCAGAATAGAAAACACAGAAAAAAGAAAAATACACTTATGAAAAAATCCATGAAAAAAATGTGAGCTTATAAAAATAAATATTTTATTGGTTTGGCATTATCTTGAGTTGAAATATTTTAAAAAATTTTTGCTTACTCTTTGGTAGTTAAAGTATATATCTGATCTCTATCTTGTATATACAGACCAAAGAATAAGATTTCATTGTACTATCAATTGTACTATATAAAATTATACTCTATAAAGTGCATAAAAGTGCAATTTCTACCTGGCTTCAGAAATTTCTTACTTATCATGGGTTGAAGTCACTTATATAAGGTTTCTTAAGTGAGATGACTATTGAGTTCAAAGTTCTGGAAGAAGCCTAGAAACAAGGAAGAGTTGTTAACTTTTAGAGGTAGAGAAGGATCTTAAAAACTATTAAGTTCACTAATTCATTCATTTTTTCATGGATTGCCTCTACTAGGCAAAGCATCGTGCAAGTCCCTGAAGATACAATTATAGGAAAGACACAGTCCTTGCCCTCATAGAACTTATAAGGTAGTGGGAGAGAAGGACAATGAACCCAGCAATTAAATTACAGTATGACAAGTGCCAAGATGAGGGTGAATGCAGGGTCTTACAGGAATCCAAACTTCACTAAGTCCTGGTGGGGGTTGAGTCAGGCTCTGAGAAGGTTCCCTGATTTAAAATTAATTCTGGAGGATGAGCCAAGTGAGTAAAATGAAGAAGGAGGAGATGAGTGTTCAGTCATAGGAATGAGCATATGAGCCAAGACCAGGAGGTAAGATAGAGTTTGGGGAGTTCTGTGAATAAGTATTAACAAAATTAATTTACCATTAGATTAAACAAAGACATTCCTAGGGCCATGTATTTATTCTTATACTTTTACTGCGTAAAAACAAAGTAATTTATTTCCTTTTTTTTAATAGCATTTCCGCATATTTGATTTGTTTGTGCATACAAAAGGGAAATACCAGAGCGAGTTTAATGGTTTCTAGTCCCATTTTATCATCATAGTCTTGATAACTTACAACTAAAAAGTTTTACTGAGCTTCTGTGGCTCTTTATAAATCACACTGCCCCTCAAACCTGTTTAAGGACAGTGAAGAGTCTGACATGCGGGTAGAAAGTTCTGAAGATGCTGTAGCTCTCCCTGTTTTTCTTGTTACTTAAGAAGAGAGGTAGAAGTGAGTATCCATCAGCTTACTCTAGTGCTCTAAGTGTTTTAGTTGAAGAGGTAAAGTGTGTGACTTGAAAGCATACAAATTTTCATCCACTACTTAGTGTACAAACTTGATTACTCAAGAAATTGAGTCATGGCCTGCAGTTGAAAATACTTTTTTTTTTTTTAAAGCAAAGTCAAGGATGTTATTTAAGGGAGAGATAAAAATAAATAAATTCTATGAATTTATTAATCATTGCAGGTGGAGAAGCAATGATCCTTAAGATATGTTGTAGCCAGAGACTCTTGGATGAGTTATATAAGCAGACTTGGTTACAGGTTCAGCAGCCAGGTACAACCTTTTAGTATTATTCCAAGGAAAAAGGACTCCACTGAGCTCACTGCTTCTCTTATATTATTATTTCAAGTGGTCACAAGGCACAGTGGAGGCTCAAGCCTATCTATACACCCCTGGCTATGCTGCTGCTTCATATCCTCCCTCTAAGGCATATATAGGAGATGCTTAATGTTAAATCAAATAGACATGGCCCAGGCAGGTGTTGGTTTAAAGGTTACCTAAGACCAGGAGGACATGAAATCAGGGTGGAGTCTGGTTATGGTTCGACGCAGTGGGGGCGTTAGGTCCTGCAAGGATAACTTACAGCTTGATCCACCAGGCTCTAGAAAGTGTCAGGGTGAGACACGCCAGCACCCTGGATAGCTCCTTCTGCAGGGGCTGAGTGTAAGCAGAGACTTACTTTCTGCAGAACCTCTGGCCCATTTAGCTGGCTCCGTCTGCTTTGTAAAGCTCTATTAAAAAAGAACTTAGTTCTTTTGTGCTTAAGAACTCACCCTGTTCACCCAAGATGGATTAGTTTTTACATTTAGTTTCACGTTTCCGGTTACCTTCTGGCTTGACATGTGCACCCATGCCTGGAAAAGACCAGAGGATGGGGGAGAAGTGAAGGCTGCTCTCTCATTACATAACTATTTTGTCTATGGAGTCCTTTCAGAGATACAGCTCAAGGTTGAGATTCTGGCAATGTATACACAAAAAATACTAAATCTTTGGTCTCTGTATTCCACATTTGCTCTTCTACAGTGTGGTCTCTATGCAACAGCAGGAGAGATCTTTTAGATGTATTAATCAGGTCATACAGTCTTGCACTTAAAACTCTCACTGCACTTAAAGTCCAGATTCCTTTCTATGGCTTAAAAGACTCTACATGTTCTTTCTCCTGCTTCCTTCCCCCCCACATTCAC